CTACCCCAGGCACTGGAAGGGGCTCTGAGGTCTCCCCAGAGCCTTCCAATTCTCCAGGCTGAACCCCCCAACTCCCACAGCCTGTCCCCGTAGCAGAGGATCTCCAGCACTCGGAGCATCTCCGGGCCCTCCTCTGGACTTGCTCCAACAGCTCCATGTCCTTCTGCGGTTGGGGGCCTCAGAGCTGGACACTGAACTGCAGGGGAGGGGTCTCCCCAGAGGGGGAGACTCCCCTCCCTTGATCTGCTGGCCATGCTGCTCTGGATACAGCCTGATACAAGGAAGCTGAAGCTCAGCTGGGATCACACCATGCTTTAGCCTAAGGAGCACCAAGCCCCTGTTTCAGTTCAGCAGCCGAAGCGAGACAGAGCTCACCCGAGCACCAGCTTGCTCTTGGTGAATCAGAGCTGCTCCAGATGTGGCGAGGAGCAGGTCTCGTCACGGTCTCCAGGAAGCTGTTAGCAGGCCAGAGTAACCTCAGCGGAAGGGGAGCCGGCCAGCCCCAGGAGGTGGGTTTAATCAGGACAGCCCGTGACCCCTGTGGCTGAACACCATTTTCCTTTCCAGTATGATTCAAAGTACCAATACAACATCCTTGTGCTGGAGAGAAACAGGCCAAGAGGAGCAAACCTACTCCTCGGCTGGCCCTGGCTCAGAGCCGGCTCCGGAGGGGTTAGGCCAGGCAGGCAGTGCCGGCAGCCAGGAGAGCAGGGCCGGGAACGGGATGTTGTGCCAGGCCCTTGCCGAAATGGAGAGTCGCCTGGTGATAAGTCAGTGTGGGCTCAGGTGTGATGAGCCCGAAATAACTGCCACCGCTCTGCGGCATGTTGTATAAATTCTCGACTGCATTTAAAAGAAAACACACGCCCAAGTTCCTGCCAGCGAAAGCATGAGCCCTCGGCTTGAAAGCCACGCTCAGAGCCAGCACTGACACTCGAATTAGTGTCTGCTAAAAATAGCTCCTTGCGTAGGTGGAAGGAGAGCTCATAAGCACAAACACGGCAGGATAGGCAGACACTGGGGTTTTTGGCTGGGGCACCAGGTGAGCAGCGGTGGGAGAAGGGACAAGGCATTGCCAGGCCCTTGGAGGAGCATGTCTGCACCCGGGATCTGTGACCCACTGTGTGGAGCATCAGAGGGTGTCCAGCACCCATGGCCCATCCCACGGCCCCGATGAGCACAGAGAGCAGCTGTAGGACACTCAGCCATGGGAGGGGAAGCCAAAAATTGGGGTGTGAGGGGTGTGAGGAAGAGGAGGCATCACCAGAATCTCAGACTGTTACAGCTTGTTTTGCAGCACTTCCAGGCTGCTGAATGCCACCCACACACCCAGGCAGTCCCCAGAAGCCATGGCTGGAGGCTGACACACCCATGATGGCACAGCATGGCTCTCCTTTCCACCATATTGAGGTCCAATCGCCACACACCTTGTCCCACGGGCATGGCCACCTTCCTGGTATGGAGGAAGGTCCCGGAGACCTTTGCAGCCAGGGTGATTCTCACTTTTAACAGAGTGCATCCATAATTTTCCTCAGCACATCTGCTTTTTTCCTAAGCAGGTCCACGTTTTCCTTCAGATCTACATTTTTTCCTCAGCAGATCCGCATCTTTACTCAGTATATCCCTATTTTGCCCCAGAAGACCTGCACTTTCCCTCAGCAGATCCATGTTTTTCCTCAGCCGGTCCATGTTTTTCCTCAGATCTGCGTTCTTTCCTCAGCAGGTGTGCATTTTTCCTTAGTAGATCCCTATTTTACCTCAGAAGACCTGCACTTTCCTTCAGCAGATCCACAATTTTCCTCAGATCTGCGCTTTACCTCAGTAGATCCACATTTTTCCTCAGCCAGTCCATGTTTTTCCTCAGATCTGCATTCTTTCCTCAGCAGGTGTGCATTTTTCCTTAGTAGATCCCTAGTTTACCTCAGAAGACCTGCACTTTCCTTCAGCAGATCCACAATTTTCCTCAGATCTGCACTTTACCTCAGTAGATCCACATTTTCTCTCAGTAGATCCACATTTTCCCTCAGCACATCCCCATTTCACCCCAGCAAATACAGGTTTTGCCACCACGCAGCCATATTTTACCTCAGCAAACCAGCCAGGCGCCGGCAACACTGCCCCCCCGGGGCGGGCTGTTCCCGCCACTCCAAAACCAGGGGCCTTCCCCTCCCTTCCTTCTCTGCACTTTCCCCTCCCCTCTTCTGTCTTTTGAGGTGGCAAATATGGCACCAAATGCTATGGCTGGTGTCCTCTACCCCAGGTGGCCTTGTCACTGCCACCATTGCCCTCATCCCACAGGGACACGACACCATCTTGGATCCCCTCCGCCTCCCATGGCCATGATCCGGAGAGGCCGCCAGGCCCTTCTCCCCCCACCCCGCCATTACCAGCACTACAAGGTTGTATTTTGTTTGTGACAAACTGCTGGCAGCAAACGCTACGTCGGAAACACTGCGTGGGAGGCAGGCAGCTCCCCTCCCCGCCTTTGTCTGCCCTCCCGGCCGGGAGTTTGCGTGCTCCCCAGTGCTGGCCATGCTGGCCTCTCGCTGTCCGGGGTGGTATGAGCAAGAACAAAAAAAAAAAAAAACACTTTATTTTTTGGCCAAGATACCGATCTAAGACTTTCTTACGGCCATGGGGCTGCATGACAGTGTGGTGACCGGCACTGCCCGCACCGCGATTGCAGCCCTGGGTTAGTGCAGCTCTCCTCACCAGCCCAAAAAGCCCCTCAGGGGTCATACCATATTATTTTTAAGTGGAAAAAAGAACAAATCTGGTGGTTGGTGGTTTGTTGGGTGGGTGCCCGGCTGCTGTGGCCCATCACCACGCTCCCCAGACCCTGGGCCAGGAGAGCCGGCTGTGCACCGCTCCAGCTCCAGCTTGCTCCTCTGTTGACCAGCCCGGCCAAGATGGTGCAGCACCCCAGGACAGCCACCCCTGGGGCAGCCACACTCTTCCCATGGCCTCCTCCCAAAACGTGGGGACACTGGAGAAAGGGGACACCAAATATCCCTTTTTCCTCATTACACACCCAGGCAGTGCCACACTTCCAGCTCTCCCGTTAAAGTAGCCAAAAAAAAAAAACCCAAAGCATTTGATTTATGGCTTTGGCAAGGTGACAGTGGGCTCAGCAGTCTGGGTCCCCCTCCCCATGCAGGACCCCCGGTCTCAGCAGCACCTGCAGACCCAGCACAGTGCCAGGACCGGCTTTTGCTTGACTTCCTGCCCAGCGTCCAGAGCAACCCAAACCACAGCTGGCGTGACCAGCAGCAGAGCCTCCTGAACACCATCCCCTCGCTGTCAAAAATAGATTGGAGCGGTTAAAAAAGAAAAACACAAAGAAAAAAAAAAAAAAGGAGAACAATATCTGCTTGACCATCAAAGAGCAGACACACTCATCTTGAGGCAGGAGTGACTGAGAGGAGGGCTCATAGGTTGTATTTTCTCTTTCTGCAGCAGCTGGGTTTGGTTTTCTTTGAAATATATGAAATATCTCACTGCTGCCAGCCCAAGGCAACTGCCTGAGGCATCTCCAGTGCAGCTGGCTGCCCCGCTCACGGGCTTGGTGGGGCTGGAAATCGCCCCAGTGATCAACCAGGTCAGAACAAACGACTCATTTTCCCTTTCGAGCATGCTACCCTCTTGTTTCCTATTTGTATAGAAACAGGCAGAGCTTGTGGGCTGAAACCTGCCCGCTCACGCCACTACTCATCTGGGAACCTGGCAATTCATTGCAGGAGTGGGCTGCGCTGACAGCAGGAGCAGCAGCCTCGCTGCTACCTGGGTCTGCGTGCCGTGGCTCGCTGGATCCGGCAGCCCCATCCCACAGATCTGCAAGGTACAATCTTGGCCAAATGCAAAGAAAAATAGGAAAAGCCAAGCTTAATTTCTGTGTATAATAAACCAGGAAATTTGTTGCAAACAACCACTGTCAGGGCTCATATTAAAATCTGCTCTGCGGGCGGGTTTTCGGAAGTCACTATGAACCCAGCATTGGAAAATGGGGTATTTTTAAGCTGTTGCACGAGGAGTTTTTGAGCTCAGACAATGCCCCCGGCACGTTAACGCGTGTACCTGGTGCCGCTGGAAACTTTTTCACCAACACCTCAAGTTATAATTCACGGCGCCTCTTGCTGAAAGCAACCCTCGGTCAAGCTCGCTCACCACACGGACGTCGATAAAAATCAGATATTTGAAAGACTTTATTCGACCTCAACA